TGCCACCATGCCCTAATTTTTTGTATTTTTAGTAGAGACGGGGTTTCACCGTGTTAGCCACAATGGTCTCGATCTCCTGACCTCGTGATCCGGCCACCTCGGCCTCCCAAAGTGTTGGGATTACAGGCATAAGCCACCACGTCCGGTCCTCATTGGATTATTTTGAGCAGTTGCTTTTAAAGCACTCAGCACAGAGCATGGAACTGAGGGCAAATTCAAATGTTAGCTGTGAGCACTGTTAATAACATTCAGGTGTTAAACAATGTACTTCACGAAAATTAACCGGAATTGCATGGTGAAGAAACCAAATATCCCTCTAAAACAGCAGAGGCTTACATTCAAACCAGTGATTTATAAAAGAGATGCCCAATTACCTAGGGGTGTTGCTACTGGTTGTGGAATTTTTCCTTTTCTTCTGTCCTCAAGTCCAAAATTATTGACTTCAAAGAAATGAAGTTATTAGACTGTAGTCTCAAGCACTTCTCTAGCTCCTATCTTGCCCCATTCCTATGCAGACTGGCAAGTACCATTGCATAACAGGTGGCTTATGTTATTTTTAGGTATGTGCATCACAGGTTTAAATAAAACCTTGTTTTAAGCAAACATCTACTCAATTCTTGGCAGACACTTATCTATTTCTAACTACAAAACACCTGCATTTAAAGGGAAAAGTTCTTCTGACCCTTTCATTCCTCTTCTTGCTGACCAATGCCATGTTCAAATCATTTCTATTTCCCAATCAACAACACATACCTGTAAATAAAGGGAAGAATTAGAGCCGTGGGACATCTTTTGCACCATCCCATCCTTTTGTAGGATGCATTCCTCCAAGTGAATCACATTTGGATGTTGGCTCTTGATACTGCTTAGTGCCCAGAACTCACGAAGGGCTAGTTCAACATTTTCAGGTGCGTGACATCGAATTTTCTTCACTGCCACCCGTGCAGAGGTCTTTCTGATGACTGCTTCATACACAACACCGTAACTACCTCGGCCTACCTCCCGTATTAGATCGTACTTTGGCTGGCTACTCACCATCTTCAAGGTCGAGGTTTCTGGAAAAATCAACAAAGTGCTCTGTTGAAATTATGTGTACCTACTGGCTTGTATTTCTTCTTATGTATGATTTACTTGTCATCTGTCTGTCTGCAGTGCTTGAAGGATATTTGCTATACCTAGGGGAAATCTAATTTTAGGAATAGTAACAATAAAGCTAACAGGTAGTATTTACCATATATCAGGAACTGTTTTAAGTTCTTTAGAATATTAAATTCAGTTAATCCTCATAATAATCTTATGAGGTGGATACTATTATGGTCTTTTTATAGATGAAACTATATAATGGAAAGGTTAAATGAAATGCCTAAGGTCAATAGCTAGTAACTGGTGGACCCGGGATTTGAAACCCGGCCATCTGCCTCAGACGACCAAGATATGAAGCACTACAGTATACTGTCTCTTATATGAACTTCTTGAAAATGTCACTGTTAAAAATACATCCCCAAAATTCAGCATTCTTATTTACTGATCAGGAAAAAACAGGCAAGCAAGCAAAATCCCAGCTTCTCCTTCAGGCTACCACACACATAATGGTCATAAAACAGCAAAAACAAAACCCCCTCACAGTTAGAAATACAAACACCTGGCTTATGCTTAAGGCCTGAAAGTGAACCAAATCATTTATAGAACTGAAAATGTTTGTTTTCATTCGTAAAAGTGGCCAAACTCAGGCCGGGCGCGGTGGCTCAAGCCTGTAATCCCAGCACTTTGGGAGGCTGAGACGGGCGGATCACGAGGTCAGGAGATCGAGACCATCCTG